TGTTCTCGTTCGCCAGCACCAGAATCACCATATGCAGCATGCTTCAGAGCTCTTTTGTTTGAAACTGGTCTTAGTTTCATTCGTCACTGTTACTTCTGGAGATCACCGCGATGTGTTTGAGAAACAGAGGATCCCCCTTTTGTGACTTGAACTGAGCCAAATAAGGCATGTGTCGTTTAGATGCTGCGTTCGTCTGTGACTTCCTGGATGAGTCGTTGACGTGTTCTTGACGTAATTCTGGTTGGCCAGCCCGCCACTCTGAAGAAGGTTCGCAAGCCGCGCGGTTCAAAGCGTGGGGGGCGAGAAGGTGGCGACTTGTAGACCGAAAAATACGGTAGGTGAGAGGCGCTGACTGTAAGCGAGTTGAAGCAGAGTGAGAATCAAAGTTCTTTCCCAAAACACAGAAACAATGAGAACTACGCTATATATTCATCCATAGCTTAATCCGTATGAACAGGTCAGGATCACCGTTCTCCGCTAAACAGCAAACAGGAACTGAAGCAAGAGCTTGAATTAAATTCTGGTCAAAGTATTTTGGTAGGTTTAAGACCTGTTAACTAAAAACAAACTTATCCTGGAACACAAGTGTTACGACAGACCTTTACAAACATATTCTTAAGTAAAATGTAAAAAAAAAAAAAGGGAAGAAAGAAAGAAAAACATGCTTGTATTTAACAACCCCTAACCCCAAAATTTCTAATTGACAAATTTGTCGGAATAAAACCACAATCCACGTTGTGAAAAGTCTGAAATAGAGTCACGTGTTTGCGAGTTGGCGACATGTTAAAACGTCCTGACCGTGATGACTAAACGGGCCCGCGTGTCGTCAGCTCTCATGCTTTGGAGAAATTGTCCTGAAATCTTGAGCCGCTCAGGCGAGACCCAGAATCTGGTTTAATATTTGATGAAATTAGTTCTGCTCGCTGCCTCTGCCTTCTTACGTCTTCTGGATGCCCACAGCTTAACGCTGCAACCAGAGTTTGTATTCTTCTTCTGAAAAACAAGTTTGTTTATTAGGGACAGATTGGAGCAGTTTTCCATGGCAAATCCTGCTTAGAAAACTACGGAGGAATATTCATTTTGCACCACAGGTTTTTCATACACAGCATGTATAATCGCGTAAAATCAGCTCAATGGAATCATGTAGCTGGAATTAACTTAAATCTGATACGATGTGCATCATTGGTGGATCTCACAAACAGAAGAAAGTAAGAGAGCTTTAATAAGGCTTGATCAAAATGCAAAAGACAAGCAAGGCATTTTTTTGTCTGCATCTATTTCATTTAGTTTTAGACTACAACAACAAGTTGCCAGTCCATCACAGGTCAACACAGAGCAAGGACAGAAGGATTTACAAAGAAGCCCATATTTAAGTGCTGTCCAGTAAGGTTTAGGAGGTGGTAGAAAATTCAAACACCACACAGGAAGTCGCTGGCGGGAATCCGAATCCACGTTCTACTCTTGGGAAATGTTGAGGATTGAAGCAAACGTTTCTAATTACTTATCTCACGCGAATATAAAAATAAACATGAACGGGATGTACAGCGGACATTGTGATTTGGGTGTGTTCAGAGCTCAACAAAGAGACAAGGACATTTTCGCCAGCAAAATCTGAAGTTGTCCAGTCTGATCTTATTGGGGCTCTTTGAACCTTAAAGGGAAACTTCTGGAAATGCAACGGGAAACGCTCAGGAATATTGCTTTGGGTTTATGTATGATTAGTGGAGCTAGATAATTTGACCTTGCTCTTAATTATTTCATCTACCCACCTAAAGCATTGTATCCTATAATATTTGAGTGTTATTTCTTTTCAATAAGACGGCTCAAAGGTTTTGTTGTCGTCTTCCTGGTGCAGAAGATGAGAGCCATACCAAGGATCTGCAAAGCAGAACAGGAACAGGAGAATGTGTGTTTATCACGTGTTTGGGGTTGGTGATCAGAGATTTATGGCGTCTGAGATCCACTCGTTGTCACGGTGAGTCGTCACTGTGGGCAGCAAAGCAGCCCCAAAACAGAACGAGAACGAGGGAAAATGCTGAAATATGTGCATGTTCTGGTACTTAAAACGAGTGGAAACAAATCACATCATGGAGAAAATTGCAAATTCAGGGAGAAGAAAAACTTCAGGTAATTTTCAGTTGTTATAAAAGTCCCAGCGACGGTATCCACGACTTACTGTATGTTTACTTGAGCTCCAGACTCAGATGAATCTTTTCGTAAGGGTCACAAACAAATCTGTCCAAGATATTTATCACATCTTCATAAAATCAACAAATACAGAGCTCTGCATTTTCTAAGGGGAAAATATTTTCCTGAGTAAACTCTGTGGAGGTACAAAAAAGTCTCATACGAAACGAGACTCAGATCTGTCTTTTTCATTTCTAATCAATAATCAAAATGAAAGAAATGAAACATAATCCCAATGTTCCAGGAGCACTGAGACTATGGGAAAAAAAACTTTTTAAGAACCAACCATTAACCATTTTCTTACCACTAGCAGTTTCATTCTCGCCATTTTAACCTAAAATGAAAAGAGGAAGAAAAGAAAAACTGAGGAGGCCCAAAATTTCAGAGCCACCAAGATAATCCATTAATTTCCAATACCAGACCATCAGCTACTGGACATTGAAAGACGTCTCACGTGGGTTATGGTACACCTCTTCTTTTTTTTTTTTTTTTCTTGTCTGGGAGCCGAGAACAGACAGGAAAAAAAGAAAGCTGTGCTTTTATTTCTCACTGTCTTCAATGTCGAGCCTTTAAAGCCACAAAAAAAAAAATCAGAATATTTTTCTACGTAAGCCCTGGTGCTTTAAATGTTACGTTTAAGTTATAAAACTCCCCAGTTGGTTCTCCGTCAACACGGACATGGCAAAACTATAAAAGGTTTAGAAATAAAGCAGCCTAACAAAACAGCCCATGACTTGTATTGGGAGCCATTTCAATAGATCAATGTTTATGAGGAATTTTATTCAGAGCAGTTACTCATTAAAACTTTACTATTCAGAAGCTTAAGATTTTGTACAGGTGCGGCAGAGATTAGATCAGTGAGGCTGAACAAAACTCATATAGAAGCAACATTTAACTTCAGTTTTACTTCTCAACAGGTTGCTCACTGAGGATAAAACACATTTGATCTGCATTACTAGTCATTTTTGGTCTGTGAATGTGGTTTAAAAATTTTCTAAACCACATTTTTCTCTTTACAGCCCCCCCGCACCCCTAATAATGAGATGGGATTTACGTCCTTGTCTCCACTGCAGGATCTGCACTGATTTGAGCCACTTATGTTGGAATTCATCACAAGTTTATGACAAAGTTCACAAAGAAACTGGGTGTGTCTTAATTACAGAGATTGTTTCCTCCCAGAAGGCTTTGGTCCAGGTCCCTTTGGGTGCCATTATCCTTTCAAGTTTGCTTATCCATCAGATCTGGTCTTTGCAAATTCTGCTTTTGCAGCATTGTCCATTTTGAATTCTTCTTTTCAGGCCAATCAATCGCGTGATTGATTGGCCTGAAAATCTGAGTCACCAGGACTGCGACTCAGATTTGTCTGGAGTTTGGTGGCGGCCTGAATGTACGAGACGGGAGACGGGGCGCAGCGCCGCAGCTACACATCTTGATGTGAGACCGGGCTGAAAGTGCAGGGAGCCTCTTTCACTAAAACAGCTCCATAACACTGCTGGAAGCTGAAAATCCCCAGACACAAAACTCATATTGATCCTCTGATCTCACCCTTGAAAAAGAAAGGAAAGCGAGCGAGTCGAACTCCTTCCATGAGTTTGTGTTTTTACTGAGGAAGAATCCACTCATTTATCATTTTTGTTAACTCTTTCATGGGCGTGAGGAGGGAGGGGGTCAGGGGGTTGGGGAAAGAAACTTAATTGCTGCAAAATCCAAACGCCTGTAAGAGACTTCCACTGAGCCCTGCTGTGGAATCAGCTGCAGGTTCTTCGGATAAGAACTGGTGCAAAACTCAGTCGTGTTGTTCGCTTGCACGACAACCCATCTCCTGCTGCAATTATCTTCCAATTCTTTCCCCTTTCTTGTGTGATCGTCTTGTTTTTCCTCCTTTTCCTGCTTTCTGCCTTTTCCCACCCCAGTCCTCGTCCCCCTGAGGAGCTGGCAGATCCCATCAGCGTTCGCTGGCTGGGAATCTGCTGCCCTTTGGTTTAAATAGCATAACCCTCCACGTCCCATATTGCGTACACAAACAGGAAGTTAAGGCCTCACTTCTGAGGGAGGATGTTATGAAAGTGTTTATTCTCTACTAACTCACTGCGTGTCGCATATTGCGCTGCCTCAGAGACAATGTGGCTTTGAGAAGTATTTTTAATTTTTATTTTCTGTTACATATCTCTGCTGCTTGATTTTTTTTTTAACATGTTTTATTCAATTTGGGGATGGGGCTTCATATTCTTTCCCATGTTGAAGAAAACCTCTGTGGACTGGGTTTGCGTTTGTGAGAAACTTACAGCTCAAACGGTCCCAGTGGGTCCTTTTTTTCCCAGTATTTCCTCTTGCTAGGAATGCTTGGACTGGGCCATTTCTCTGCGCCTTTTGAAATAAGCCCGTTTCCACACTCGTCTCGGCTCCTGATGATTCTCCAAATTCTGAAATGAGGCTTGCGAGAACGCAAGCTTTGCAGGAAATTAAAAAAAATAGAGAGTAAAGGTTGTTTTTGTTTCAGAGCAACAAAGCACACACGGCCTCGGTAGTTGGCAAATCCTTGGGAACATTTTTCAGCTCATAGTTTTCGTTTTCGGCTTGGTGTGAAACAACAAATAACGTAGTCACAGCTGGCACAGATATTGTTGTCATTGTTAAAATGCATAATAGCGGCGAAATCCTGGAGCGATGGAGGCAATGAACTGGGGTTACTGTGTTCAAAAGATAGGCAGGCTATTTTTCTTTATGGATCCTTAATGTTAACCCGTCAGCGGCCTGCGAGAATCCGGACTCTGAACCACAAGGTGAGAGAGAAAGAAAGTCGCTCAAAGCAGTTCAGTAAAGAAGTTGGTTTTATTACAAAGTAAAGAAAAAGGAAATTACTGTAGGATTATTTCCTGTCCCTTTATAGCCTACATTTTCAATGCCAGAAAACTTGCAAATGTAAGAAATATCTATAAAAATACTTCAAGTAAATCATCCCCCCCAAAAGTATGCTGACAGTCAATTCAGTTCACTTCACATTATGGCTCTAATTCACAAGACAAGTTTCCTTAAAGCACTTTAGAGAGAGATTTTAATGAGACCTGATCACAGAGTGATTTAAAGTTACATGACAATGTTCCAGCTTCAGCCTGGTTATCAAACAATGCAGTTCATGTTTTTTTATTCCATGGTTAAATAATATCAAAAATAATTGTACATAAAACAAAGAAAATGATGGACAACCCTGACCATCCTCTTCATGAAACGGAGCATCTTCAGTCAGGGTTTCTTCAGATTCGCTGTAACACAGGCTGCTACAGGAGATGTTTTCTGTGGGCAGAGAAGAATATAACACTCAATAACTCTTAATGTGTGTTACAACAACTTTTAACTTCCCTTTTGGGATCAATAAAGTATTTCTAATAAATTTAAAGGTTTCCTAGCTAAGGAAACCCAGCAGATTGCATCAACTCCTTTCGGCAAAAGCTCATTAAAAGCTTTGAGAGAGATTTTGTTCAACCCAGTGTGTAATAATATAAAATATTAGCAGTTTTTATTTTTCAAAGGTAACTTTAAAATGTGACGATTGGGAACTGAACAACTCTTAGTGTAGGTGGTTGTCAATGTCAACAACACATATGACGTCTCTTCAGATTCAATTTTTGAATTTTGAAGAATCCAACCTGCTCCACAGCCAGAGACAAACTGGTAAGAAAAATTCCAGTGTACACTGAGTGTAAGTTTTATTTAATTCGGCTTCCCAAAATATTAAAAATTAGGCATGAAACAATGGGCATTTTTCCACTTCTGATACCCAATTTAGTTTATTTTCAATACTGATACCGATACTGATACTAATGTTGGATCGGTGCATCCAGTATCAAATACCCATTTATTTCAGCACATTAATGTTAAAGCAACCAAATTTTAATTTGTATTGTTTGGGGCATCTTGTGAATCTATTTTATTTTATTTTTTTTTTGCATTTGATTAGTTAATAACCAGACAATATTTTAATTTTCAATAACCCTGTTTACAGCCTCAACTTAAAAAAAAACAACAACAAAAAAAAACACGCATTTCATTTGTAGTTGAAACTTGGAATTTCTGACATCCAAATCTAAAAAATTAACTGGAAGAGCCCCCACACCAAAGTCGAAGTTTCCACTCGAAAAGTCTGAAAATTTCTCCAACGCCGACTTTGAGATCCAACATGGCCGCTCCTCCCATCAACAATAGCAGGCTGAGATGGAGACGTGTCTATGTTGCAAGATGCACTTGTAGCGGTGCGTCTAAAGCCAATGTCACATTATGTAGCGCCTGCAACTCTAAACTGAACACATTAAAAGTGAATTTTTGCAGGTGGCAAGTGTAGCTTTAAACAACGTTTGTAAGAGGTACAAACAATGACTGCATGGGCATCGCCATATTAGAGTTGTGACGTCTTTGACTATGCTACTGGAGTGCTGCTAACATGAATGTGATGTCATTCCCAGCTCACAGTTCCAACTTCGGAGGTCAAAGGAACGCAGCACAGCCGACTTCCAGAGAAGAAGCTGCTTCTCCGGCCGCTGCAGTCCTTTCAGACCAAAACAGGAAATGTCACACCTGAACGTGTAAAATGGTTTTATCGCCAGTTGATAAAGTATTACAGACGATAATGTTTTCTTTGCAAGACCCTTCGCTGAAAGGAAATCAGTTTTCCATAAATTCAGAAGGATGTGCTGGCAGACTCCAGGAGCTTTAATGTATTCATGAAGAGGGCTATTTATTGGACACAGTATTCGCAAAACGTCACAAAGGCTGCCCCTCCTGCACCTCCGCGAGTGGGTGAAAAAGCTTCAAAGTTTCCTCGGACCTCCAAATGGATGTTTGGCTGGACCACAGAGGACGCGGAGAACACAAGCTAAGTGCTTGAGCAGCGGGTGACGCTAACGCAGGAAGACGGGCTCAGTGTGGCGTGAAGCAGAAGAGTGCTGTGTGAGGTGACTTATGGGACAATGGGGCCGCTTTCTGCAAATAAAACATGAGGCTTATCCAGAGCCTCTGAACTATACAGTCTCAGCTTCTGTCAGGTGTTTTTGGGCGGAAAGAGAGGGAGGCAGGGGTACGTTGGGGGGGTCACAGGGGCCCTGAAAGACAAATGAACCAGTCGACTCTGCTCTAAATATCGGAAGAGCGCACTAAAGACTATGAATTTTATTCATCTTTTGATGCATTTATCGCTACTGTAGTTTCTCCACTTCTCTAAGTAAGAAAAGAAAAGAAAAATCGACAGAGCTACGGTTTACTTGGTGTGAAATCAATCGGTCATGTGACCCAACTTTCAGATTTCTTTTATTTTAAATGCTATTTTTTAAAATCTGTTTTCAGAGGGGCATTTCTCTCCCCCAATTTAAAGACATTATTATGGATTTAAAAAATTACATGTATGAGGATGCATTCAGCCATCTGTCTTGCATGCTATACATGAAGTGAGCGGCAGCAATAGATCACCGAATTGAGAACTAAGTGGACTCAGAAATAAAGTCCAAACACCCAAAAACGTGACTTAAATTCTCTGCCTGACGGGAATTAATTGGCTGTAGCAGGAATTATGTTTAGGGAAAATCGTGCCTCCTTTGAACTTGAAATGTTCATTTTTCACAGTGAATCACATCAGCCAGTTCATCTTCAGGTCATACCTATGGGTGCGATCACGAGTCAGACTTGATGGCCTGATACCATCTGAATAGAGGAAAATGTGGGTGAATTTAAGATACATTAAACCAGTGTTTTCAACGTTATTAGCATTTTTTAGGGCATCGGAGTAAAGTATGGCGAAATCCCGACGCTTTTCACAGCTCTGATTTTTCATGGAAAACAATTTTGAAAACGAGGCGTTCTTTTCGTTTGACTTCTCGACTGCGCATTGTCTCGTGTTTCACCCTGGTGGCGTCTGTCAGTGACTGTCACCGGTCTTTCCTGCAATTGCGTAAACAGACTGAGAAACCGTAATCATCAAAGTTACAAGAAAGAAAGGCTTTTTAGTTGTTCTAGCTGTGCTGGGTGCACCGGAACTATATATTGTGTGAATTTCACTTTCTGAAACGTGAAAGTGAAATGGGTAACAAAAAATGTTGATCTTTTCTTTTTTTTTTTTCTTTACAAATTTCAAATGCTTTTCAAACACTTGGAAAGCCTTGACTTCAGCTACACCAAAACCTGAGTTGCATATATTTGAGCCCGTGTGTATAATTTTAATCCTGTACAGATTTAGAAAAAAAATTTTTTGAAACATTTTTTTCACCTAATTCTTGCTTCCCATCACTCCCTCCAAAATGTCTTTGTCATTTAAAGCCTGGAATCACCGCGACAGTCATTACCACAATGGGCGTATGTAAACTTCTGGTAGCATGACTGTAACAAAAGAACCTGAACCACTCAAAGCATAAGATTTGGTTGAAAAAAATAAAATAAAGTGTCAATCTCACTGTTTGACTTTAGAGTTAAGCGGCGTCTGTAATGCCACACTTCCACTTTCACACCATTCCTCCCATCCAAGGTGATTCTCGTGAGATTAGAGACAGGTGTTTTTTATCCTAAATGTTCATGTAACACTTTCATTCCCCTTTGTGTTCATTAATCAGGAGGCCTTCAGTTTGAGCATCTCCGGATATTTCCATCCGGCAACATCCCAGATGTCAATTATGCAGAGCCTCTTTGGCAGCACTCAGGAGAAAGGGGCCGAGGAGTTTTATCTCCAAACAACTTGGAAGTGTTCTGTAAAATTCAACCGAGGAGACGTATAAATAAGAAATATTTTACGGCTCTGCAGCCACACAAGGCTTTCTTTGGCCGTGAAAATGCCTCTGACATCTCTGAGCATAAAAGGTTTGGAGCTCCGGTGAGTCACTTCTTTGCTCTCTGCTCTCTTGTAGCTGATTGCGTCTTGCTTTTTCAAGCTGACGTCTCTTGTAAGGGGGCTTCTGGGCAAGAAGCAGGGAGTCCTACAGCATTGACGAGAAGCTCTTGCTGGTTTTTATTAAGTAGAATACGAACACAGAGATGATCGGGTGAAGATTCCTGTCTCCAAACACGAGGTGCATCACAAACAATGGATACGTTGACGCTCACTCACTGGCACGGTCAACATTTCACTGGTGAAATGGGAAGCAGAGCGTAAAATGACGTTCGTCTTCCACATCTGACAGAAAGCAGATCTCCGCTTGGCGCTCAAACCCCGGATCTGTTCTTCACTTTCAGATGTTAAAACTCTAATCTAACGTCAAACAAGCTCTTCCTATACGCTTTCGACTGAGCCGGAAACCAAAAGTGGTGTCCTCCTAGCCTTCTTAGTACCATATACCAGATGTTTCAGCTAAAGAAAAACATGTAGAAATGAAAGATTTTTTGTGGTGTTTTATATATATATATATATATATATATATATATATATATATATATATATATATATATATATATATATATATATATATTACAAAGAAAATTGTGCAATATGCACTTGTAAGTAGTGGTTCAGGAGTTGATAAAGTTATGAGGAACTGACTGAACATGGACATGTTTATTAGTCTTTGCACTTGAAAAATGGACCAAGAAGTCGGCAAGACGGACATTTAAGGAAAGGCTGGAGCTGCTTCCAGAAACATGAAACATGTCTCGCAAAGTGTCCCTCTTTGTCTCCATATATGTACGTACATGGCCGAGTCTCTCAAACATGTGAAACGCACAAGATCGTGGCTATTTTTAGACCCAAAAAAAATCGAAGGAGAAATACAGTGGGAACACGTCCGTCCACTCCATCTCCTCCTCCTCCTCCTCCTCCTCCTCCAGTCCTGATTGTGTTCCTATACAAAGTCAGGAAACCGTCTGGCCTCTGAGAGCTGCGTTGTTGTGAGGAAACCCGCTGCATGCTGGGCTCGCGTCCAGGGCCGAGCCTTAACTCGCGGCCCCGGCCAGCCTCCCTCCACCCACACAGCCTCTGACATCGACGTGGAGGCAAACAGTCAAACGCTAACAACATCGTTTATTTTGCACGTTATTGTGACACTTTCTATCTCATGCCTATCGGCAGTCGTTTGTCCGGATAGGCCCGTTCTTTGAAACGACACACAATAAATAAATGATTGCCTTTTTTTTTTTATAGCCTTTTGGACCTGCAGAACTGCATTACTGCATGTGTGTGATAAAATTTTAGTTTTACTCTAAAACTGACTTTAAATGCTGAATTCTCTTAAATTTTGATATAAAGTATTTCCATTTGAATAATATCACAGGAAAGAAGCTAAAGTGTGACTGGTAAAATATAATGAATATTTTCCAGGGTGTAATCTCTGGTATTTTTTATTATTTCATGAATTATAAAATACATTATGAGAGAAATGTTGCCTAGCAAAATGTCCATGAAGATAGAATATTAGCTGCATTTTGCTGCATCGAAATAGATGCATGTAGTGAAACGTACTAGACATACTTCCTCTTCATTCCAATTTAATAATGATGATGGTTTTGATTACATTTCAAAATCGTCCCATAACTACCTAAAGTGAAGTCAAACAGGACAGCAAGCTGAACTCCTTCACCCTGAAGCAGCTTTGATCAATGAGCTGCACACAGCTGTGGTCGAACGCCATGTTTTCAGAACAGATTTTAAGAGCTTAATATTTCATTGGCATTTTGTTATTTGGTCACAAATCCGCCCTTATCTGTTGGTTTATTTTAACATGGGAGATCAAACGGGCGTGTCTGTTGTGATGAATGTGTGTGCACTCTCTCTGCCTTTCATAACCGAGTGAATTTGGGAGAAATCATTCTGAGTTATAATTTATTTGTATTTAAATGAATCAATCAGACTGGAGGGATTTATAAATTTGTCTGAATGCAATTACTTGCTTTGGAGTGGGAATATTTTTAATTTGACTTTTACTCATTCATTTGAGTACTTTTTACATGATTCACACCATCCATGCAAGTAAAATGGATTCCTTCACCTATACTGATTTATTTTTGCAACATTATTTAGCAGTTTAGTCAGCAAAGATCAATGCATAAATTGTAATCTAAAAATGTAGAGTTTTGAATCAAATCTCGTCTACAAGGAGAAGAAGCAGAAAACAGTCAAACAAGTCATCGCAAGAATAGGATAGATTTTTATTATTATTATTATTACTAAATTTGCTATTTAAATGTGAAAGAAATAATAGTTTTATTTGTTAAACATAAGCTGGCCCAAAATATAAGAATATGGTTCTTAGGTCACCCAGGCCAGCAGGGGGCACCCAAGACTCCTTGCATTCTCAGATAATACATCTCAGTAAATGTTTTGCTCCTGTTGCTTGTTATCACATTAATTTAAAAAAATAAATAAATGAAAAATGCAACTTTGAAACTGGATCCACAGTTTTTATCATTTTAAACTTAAATAAAATTTAAATAATGTTGAAATGTAAAAGAATTGACACGTATACAATTTTTCATAAGTTGAGGCACAATTTTATGGCACTTTAATTCAACAATATTTTCTCTGAAACTGCAAACAAGTCTTCACAATATATATATATATATATATATATATATATATATATATATATATATAATATATATATATATATATATATATATATATATTTTTTTTTTTTTTTTTTTAACAACTAGTCGGTACCGAATTAGTTCTCTTTAGAGCTTGTTGCAAATACCAACGAGTAAATCAAAGGAATAACACGGCTCTACTTACTTATTCACAGCTTTTCAGGTAATGGCGTGACGTGTAAATTCTGATGAGGGCCATATCTGACTTTGGGCCGGCCCTGTTGTTGCGTGTACCGACGGAGGGCGGGGGGGCCGCTGCTCCCGCAACAGCTGAGGCGGATCTGCAGCTTGATTACAGCACACAGCAGACTCTCCGATAATTGATGACCTAATTGAAAAGCGGGAGCAGAGTGGGAGAGAGAGAAAGAGAGAGAAAGAGGGAGAGAGAGGCTCCAATGAGAAAAGTTTACTTGTTCTCCGTCTGAACAGTTCCCCTCTCCGTTCCCCCCCAACACAGCTGAGGGCATTGATGTGAACGCAAGTCGCTTTCAGTTTTTTACGCGCACTTCTTTCCCCCCTCATCTCTCACCCTCACACACGGAGCACCTAATCCACCTTCGCACCTTTGGCTTTTTTTTTTCTTTTCTTTTTTTTTTTGTTTTTTTAACTTTTTTCCGTTTGCTTGTTTTCCAGAGCGCGGTCTGCGTCCTCCTTTCCTCTCTTCTTTTTTTTCCTTTTAAAAATCCCGTCTCTTTAATGAATGGTTCCGCGTTCTCCCGAACCGGACTCGGACAGCTCGCCCGCGCGCCCTCACCTCCGCACATCCTCTGAAGTTCAGACGCCACCGGGACGTTTCCACCGCCGCTTCAGACGCGCTTCTTACCGCCGGGGGGAAAAAAACATCACTCGACCTGAGGCTGTGTTTTTTTTTTTTTTTCGTTTTGTTTTTTTGTTTTTCCCCTTCTTCTTCCTCTCGCCTAGCCACAGCCGGAGCGACGTCCAACATGAGTCTGAAAGCTGATTCTGAGCCGAATAACAACGTTTCCATCGAGGAGGAGGTGAGTCCGACTTCAAGTGTTGTTTTTTTTTTTTTCTGGTTCTTGTCGGTTCTACCTGGTCATGTTGTCGCTTCCGGTCGCAAAACCCAGCCTCAGTCTGTCTAAAGCTTCAGAGTTTTGGCTCCTCAAGCAAACAAAAGACAGACGGAAAAGGAGCCAAAGTTAAAGGGAAGTGACGGGTTTTCACGGGGTTAAAGTGTCAAAATACTGTTTTCAATCCTATAATCAATTTGAAAACCGAACTTGGTGTGTTCAACCTTCATGGCTCTTGTCATTTTGAATCCTTTTCTTTTAAAATGCTGTGATTTTTTTTTTTTCCTTTTTTTCTTCAAGTTTTGGTGAACAAATAAAATTTCTAAATTAAAAAAAAAATTCTTTACTTCCAGTATTTTTTTAAAGTTTCTTTTATGTTATTACAAGTACTTTGCAAATTCAATACATATATATTTAAAAAATTAGCAAACTTGTTTAATACCTTTATTAAAAAATGTCCAAATCTTTTAAAAAAAATGTATATCTTTTATTGAAAATAAAACCTGACCTTCGAATCTAATTTTTTTTTTTTTTTTTTTTTTGCCCAACAGGTGTATTTTATAAATGACAGTAATCCTATAGTTGTTGAGCCATTAAATGATGTTTCTGGTGATGTTTTAAAGCTGCCACTCTGCTTTCTGTGTGGCCAGCTTTATTTCCTCCTTAATGGCTCCTCATGGAGACGCTCTAAAGGAAGCAGCAGGCCTTTTGTCGGTCCTCCTTTTGTTCCCATTATCCGATGACAAAGCCTTGTTTGGCCACTTGACTTTTCTCTTTTCTTGCTCCTAATTTGCCTTGAAACCTCCCCTTCCTTCCCCCTCCTATTTAGAAACAAATGGACATGACTAAATCTTAGTGGATATTAAAACGCTGCCGTAATACCCCTCCTCCCCGCCCCCTCAGAATATTTTGGGTGTTTTAAATAATTTTTAGATATTATTCCAACTATTCAATTTCATATTTGCAGCTGCTCACTCATTGCTGTGGGATAAATTGAGACTTCTTTACTGTTTGATCCTTGCTGAGCTGGTGTTAATCTGCTGTATACATTGACATGTGAAAAAACAAAAGAAAAAAACAAAAAAGAAAGAAAGGAAGGGCTAAGACTTGCTGCTGTGCAGCACCTGAAAAATGTCGGGAGAGCCGACGGGGCCGGGGCCGCTGGTCAGAGGAAGGAAATGCTGTCATGCTGTGCGCTGTTGTCCAACGCTGTTCCTCTGGCTGCTCCATTGTACTTCAGGCCTCCCCGCCGACCGACAACTAATGGGCCTCCCTGTTTATACGCCGGAATAAAGACACTGAATGTCCAGTTAAGGGGTGTTCATTGTTTCCTTCAGGCGGGATCAAAGATTCCAGTTTTTTTTTTTAAGATCAGTTCAGATTGCTGGAAAAACACAATTTCAGGTCTTAAAATTTGTCAGTGAAAAGTGTTTCAGATCATTTTCAAATTTACCAAATTAAGCTGATATGTTCTGACAGTGTCCTACGGCTTGGTGACAGCTGAGCGGTGTTTGGGTATGAAGCCTTTCTACTGATGAACAAAAAAGATGTCAAGATTTGTCTTTCCCAGTGCTATTTCCATTTTGCCTTCCACATCTTTGGGTAATTTAAGAAATGCTAGAATGTGTTTTCAAGGATATCTCAGCATTAATGGCTCCATATGCCACTTACACTTCCAGCTGATGCAGACCGATCCTTTCTTCACAAGCATTTCTTCATACTTTATAAAGCGTTATGTATCCAAATTTCATGTGTGTCTATAGTGTTTTGTCAAATCTGTCAGTTTATCAGTAAGTCTAAAGAGCTGGAACAACACCACAAAACTCTAAATGGGATCCTCAATTGAATAAATGAAGCTGAATGAATCTGAAATTGAACTGTGAGGATCGATGGCTTGGAACTTGAGGGGGATTTTTTTTATTTTTTGTCAAAAGGGTTCGGAAAAGCCGAAGGAGAAATTTCAATGTGAGAAATGGATGGGGAAGGTTTATATTAGCAGTACTGTTTTTGTTAAATTCTGAAAGTTACACATTTGTTCAAAAGACGAACTGCATGTATCTGTTTTGTTGTGATGTCACAGGATGACTAGAACCTTTTTTTTTTGTTTTTTTTTCCGTTGGCAGGTACGAACTCTGTTTGTCAGCGGCCTACCGGTTGACATCAAACCACGGGAACTTTACCTTCTTTTCAGACCTTTTAAGGCAAGTTGCTGCGCATATATTTCCAAGGGTGGTGGTCTTTTTTTTTTTTTTTTTTTTTTTTTTTAGCTCGAGCTTTTCAGTGTGTAAACGGAATAAAGTTGATTTGCCATCCTCTTTAAAATGAGAGGAAAAAAAGGAAAAACATGGAGTAGCTGCTGTTTGCCTGCTGCTGGAGCAGAGTCATGGAAAGTGGTTGTGAAGGGATTATCTGTGCTGAGGGGTAGACTTTTAGTATTTGGGAAGCATTTGTCATCTGAATTGCAGGTACATTTCTTTTTAAGCCATTCTTCATTTCACTGTAATACATAAACCATCCAGCGCTCTGCTCCCGGAGGAAGATCTCTGCGTAGCTGTAGTCCCTCCATTAATGGAAGACCACATATTTGCATATATAAAAATGAGGCCACATCATTGTTAATCAGTTTTTTTTTTTCGTTTTGTTTTCCCCCGTCCTGTTCTATAACCTCCCCCCCCACTGTTGTCCTAACGAAGCAAACTGGAAGTGGTGTCCCTCGCACATGGATGGTCCTGTGGAATGTGTAAATGAGTAGCTCTCCCGATTGGCCAAGCCGCTCTGTGACCCAGCTCTCACACAAGCAGGGAAATTTAGATATACACTCCAAACATTTGCACGTTGTGAAACCACTGTAGTTTTTCTTATTCAGTTGGTTGTAACTTTTCTTTTTGGTTTATCTTTTATTTCAACACACAACAAACGCAGCTCGGCTTAAGCAAGTCGCTTCAACTTGGCCTCATGACTGGGGAGGCGAAAAAAAAAAAAAAAAAAAAAAAGCTTGACAGCTTTCCAAGATGGTGTTTCCCTTGTTTATTGGAGGCCATTTTAGTTTTGGATACTTGCAATGGAAAGTTTGATTGTAAATTTGAATCAGGAGTGAACCATACTTTGTATGATCTTTGCCTTCTCAGCTACTCCTGCTGTTTTTTAAAATCGTAGAGTATTGAATATATCCCAGCATGCTTTTTGACAAGCTCTGCTAATTGTTATCTTTAGTAGTTTTGGCGCTTGACTACTGCAGATGTGAAGTGCATTTTATTTATTTTTGATGGCTCTGATGGCGTCCAGGCAGATTTGGTCTTCATGTAGTGAGACGTTTTATGCCTGACCTCCTTCATGTGACTTCATGGTGGATAATTGGCTATCTTTTTTTTTTTTCTTTCCCCTGCAGGGTTATGAAGGGTCACTGATTAAGTTAACATCAAAACAGGTGAGGTGGTCTCAATCAGTTCTCTGGATAACTTCCAGACAGATTTATTCTTAATAGCTTTACAACTGACTAGATTTTAAAATGCATGTTTGTGGCCAGTCGTTGCATAACAGGGCACTTCTTTTGTCTTCCAGCCTGTCGGGTTTGTAACATTCGACAGTCGCTCTGGAGCCGAAGCTGCAAAAAACGCTCTGAATGTAAGTTTTCATTCACCGATTTCATTTCTTTTAAGAGTTTCACAGTTCCCCGCTCCCCTGTTTTTTTCCATCTTCTACATGTGTTGTGCTAACCTTTTTTATTTTTGTTTGAACCCACAAATGATTGGGATGTGATTGTGAGCAACATCATCTCTCCCTCTGAAATCTCTCAAAGCCAACCCGTTTTGTCTCTTACAATTCAATGGCAGGGCCATTTTTGGAAAGAGGCCAGAATCCCGTAGCCTTACGGTAGTTTACTTTGACCTTGATACACATCCTTCTTAGTCTGATAATAGCTTTCCTCAGTTTTGCATATCACTGCTTTACTGTAATACCTGTCTCATAGCCACATGTGTAGTTATTTGGACACAACTTTGGTAGTGTAACCTCATTTTTTTTCACTCGATAGCCCACGTTGGCAGTATCTAACACTTCTCTCTCATAGCTTAGCATTCGTTATGAGCATCACTTCTTAGACACACCAGCAGAGACACACATACACAAACAACACATACACCAAAATACTACTCACCTGCATGTGGGCACAATGCTTAGGGCACAAAACACAAAAGCAGGGTTAGACCACCTAAAGGAAATTCCACTCTGTCTTGCTGTCGGCCCCTTCTCCTCGTCTCCTTCTCCTTCTGGCTCGTGCAGAGGCCGCGCTCATCCGCCAGTCGCCTCTGCTCTCGATTTGTCACGAGGAAAAGGAGACGCAAGCGTGTCGAAATGCCAGAAGTGTATCCTTCAGATGGTGTTTTGGCATCCTTTGTCAGAGGCTTGAAAGATGCACCCTGAGCATTGAAACACCGCTTTCAGGAAGGGGTGGGGGTCCTGGCGAGACTGCTTAAACTAAGCCCCCCCTGAACTCAGCTCGCCTCCCTTACAATCATATGTCCTCCTCCTCCCTCCTCCGTCTCTCCTCTCAGGGTATCCGTTTTGATCCCGAAAGTCCCCAGACCCTGCGCTTAGAGTTTGCTAAAGCCAACACGAAGATGGCAAAGAGTAAGCTGATGGCCACACCGAACCCCACAAATATCCACCCCGCTCTAGGAGCACACTTCATTGCACGGGACCCATGTAAGTTGTACGGCTTCACTATTCTAGGCCCTCATCCACACTCACCTTGGTAGTGTCAGTGCTCAGTGGCCCTTGTTGTCCTCTTTTTAAGACCTACAGATGTTATGGGATTAACTTCCATGGTTTAGGAGGGGTGCGACAGGTTTTCTAACAAATTAAAGGACTAACTCACCTTCACGTGCATGTGTCATCTCGATTCTTCAGCCAGTTCCTTTTTGCTTCTGTACAGTGGGGAAAATTCCTTTCTCAGGTTTTAGGCAGCAGTGACGTCTCTGCTCTTTGTCCAAACATCTGCTTGATTCATTAGTTTGAGACCAGTAGTGGTTGACAAGTGATGAGCTTCATTAAAGCCAGATCCCGCCTGGATAAATTTACTGTTGTGGTGTGGCAGATTGCCTTAAGTGAGGGTTTTGGGGGAGGGAGGGTCAAGTGGGGAGACTGAAGCTGGCGTATAAAAACAGTAAATCTTAGATACTTTACTCAACAGGTTTGGTACATTTAAAAAATGTACTTCCAAGTTTGTTTAAAAAGAGATTTATGCTTTTAGTGCACCAAAGAATAACCACTACT